CCGGTACAAGATAGCGTTGCGCAAAAGATGCGTATTCCCGACGCCAGAGAGCGGTTAGCCGCGCGCTTCCGCGGACTGGGCGCACGCGCCGCGGGTGTTGTATGTAGGGTAGCCATCTCCGCTGCACCGCTATACGATTCGCGCGCCGAAGGAGGGCCGGCATCTGTCTGCGCCGCGAATCCGTATAGCGGGACGTAACATTCGCGCAGTTTCGTTGGAGACGTTTACACTGGCTTGACTCGGCGGCCTTGGGGGAAGCGGCATGAATATATATCAGATGCTCGCACAGCCATGCCCGCCCCACCCCACACCACCCCCACAGGTTGCTCGCCACGACGTGCCGTCGCCACGCGGCAGCGCGTGAACAAGGGCGTCAGAGAGGCTGTCGAAGTGGCACGTGACGCAGCAGGCGCCACCACGGCCGGACGGCGAATTTTGAGATAGCATCTAGTGTAAATTTCAAGTGTAAACAAACATCAATCAACGTCGGGGTACTACATGGATAGTATAAGTTGAAGCGCACGTCACATTGCAGCTTAGACTGTACGCGACCCTTCACTCCGCCAAGTATTCCTTCCTACACTGACTTATAGTTAGGCTGCATGCGTGTGGAACTGGTCCACGGGCAGCAGTCATAAAAGGGTCATCCAGCCCAGCTATGTGTGTAGAAAAATTAGCCTTGGGAAAATGCTCGTAACAAGGCCTCGTCGCCGCCTCTATGGACGGCATATGTACTGGAGAATAATTTCACTGGCCTGAAACGGAGAATATCAAAACTCGCATTTCTGAGAGGAAAACCAAACGCGCGGCAGCAAAGAACAATTTACGACATTTGTATTAAATCTCTACCTACATGACATAGTGAAAAGCTTGTGGAATCGCCACAACTCTCAATTGACGATTAGACGGCTTTATCCTATACCAAAGGCACCTGCCGAAGTGGTCTAAACGCGCAGCGAATAGATTTATTGTTCACCCTGCCGGCCGTTTGCAGCGGCTTCGCGCGGAATCCCGGGTGCGCAGATCGTCGATAAATAAACAGAACGTGTAAGTAACTAAGCAGTGTAAGTAAACAGCAACGTACGTGTACAGTAACAGAAACGGTAAGAGTAACTAATGCGTGTAAAGCTACAGAAACGTGTAATAACTAAGCGTGTAGAGTAACAGAACGTGTAAGTAACTAAGCGTGTAAGTAACAGCAGTGTAGCGTAACGGCAGCTGGGTGCGTCTGTTTGTTGCCGTAGGACTGCTGCGCAGCTGCGGAGCACGTCAACTCACGGACGGATGCGTACCGGTGCGGGACGACGCCACAACGATGACGTCACCCGTCAGATGTCGTACAGGACGAGACGGCGGGGTTCATGCAGTTCGGTTGCCCGTGAGGACCTGCACGTTAAGTGTATGTGTGTGTTACACAACTCGCCAGCTAAATGCTGTGGTTTGCTGGTGGTGGCTGTGGGGCTTGTGCTACCGCTATATTACTACTACTGCCCGCTGCTACTACTGCTGCTGCTGCATTCGTGTTGTTTGTTGTTGTTGTTGTGGTGGTGCTGGTGGTGGTGGTGCCGCTGCCTGGCTGCCTGCTGCTGGTGGTGGTACTGCTGCTGGTTGTGAGTGGTGGTCGGTGCTGCTGCTGCTGCTACTATCTAAGTACTGCTGCTCTGGCTGCTTGCGCTGCTGCTGCTGCTGCTGGTGGTGGTACTGCTGCTGGTTGTCGGTGGTGGTGTGTGGTGTGGTGCTTGCTACTACCTACTAACTACTACTACTACTTATACTTACTACTACTACTACTACTACTAACTAATACTACTACTACTACTTACTACCTGCTGCTGCTGCGCTGCTGGTGGTCGGTGGTGGTACTGCCGCTGCTTCGTTGTTGTATGGCTTCATAAAACTGCCAATTTCATTTTGCCTAACTATCTTGTATTATAGCTCAGCTTATTAGGCTACCACAAATAGCGAATAACCTTTTCAGCACATGTAATCTTGTGACATCGTTTAAGAAGCATTAATTTTTGTTTAGGCTTGCGCTGCTCAATAATTAATTAAAATCGTTGGTTTAATGGCTGTGATAAATCTTTGATAAATAAATTGTTGTGGGAGGAAGAAAGAATATTCATTGCGAACTAAAAATTCTACCCTGTTATTATGAGTTCAATCCACCACACAGCACACGCACACGCACACGTATCACGGCACCACACCACCCACGCCGCGCGCTGGCACACGCACACGACACACACGCTACACGCTGCACACGCACTCGCAGCACGGCGCACGCGCCCACGACAACACCGCCACACACGCACATTTGTCATGATTTTCGTAAAACCTTACAGAATGAGATCTGACGCGTGCAGCATCGCATCAGACCACGTGACCGACGTCCACGACGACGACGAAGACGCGAAACCCCTCAAAACAAAACCATCGCCGTCGGCCGCCGCAGCCAAACTACGCCAACCGCGCGTCTGCCAGCAGCGCTACTGCTGGCGCCCTCTATTGGTGTACAACGAAGACGTTAATATGTTTTACATTGAGTACTACTCTTACAACGCTTGCTGCGAGTGTGGGCACCTCAGAGGGAGACGCAACCCAGCATGCAGCGCCCGCATACACGAGGATCTACTTCTGATCGTATAGTTACTATAGTAGGTACTAGATCTATAGGTATATATACTATAGTAGGTACTATATCTATAGGTATATATACTATAGTAGGTACTATATCTATAGGTATATATACTATAGTAGGTACTATATCTATAGGTATATATACTATAGTAGTACTATATCTATAGGTATATAGGTATATATACTATAGTAGGTACTATATCTATAGGTATATAGGTATATATATATATTATAGTAGGTACTGTCGAACCTGTATACAGCTAGCGGTCACTAAATAGAAAACTTTCTCCAAAGAGTGTCCTTTATGGACAGGTGGCGTCCGCTCTACAGAAGTGAGTTCATTCTATGCAAGAATGGAAACGCCGAAAGTGTCCTTTATAGACAGGTGTCTCCGTTCTATAGAGGTGGTCCGCTTTTTAACTGTTACTCATGGGAAACGCCGAGTGTCGATTTTTGACGTGTCCGTTCTAAAGAGGTGTCAGCTAACACGGGTGTTAATGTATATATAAGACTGGCATTTCGAGAATAGATAGATCAGCGGATAAATCAGAGAGAGAGTAGAGAAAGCATGAGAAAAGAATATGGATGGATGCTAGGAAAAATTACAGCCATGTTGCTGTGAGTCTCTGCTTTTAGTCGGAATTGATGAAGTAACACACACGATTCACAAACCATTTGTTATTATATTGTTAGAGTTGTAATTAGTATTTATTTTTATTATCATCATCATCATCATCATTAATTTTATGGATTATTATTTTTGGTTTTTTAAGTATGTAATTGCGATATGTGTGGATGCACATAGATTAGTACTGCTGGCCGTTGTAATGAATAAATTTTGAGTAAAGAAATACGACGTTTGCTTGTGTTTACGTCATCATCATCTCCGCGGCCTCTTATCATCTCTCTCCCCTCTCTCTCTATCTCACTACCTACTTTCTGCTACTGCGTATGTGCGTGCGTGCGTGTGCGTGTGCGTGCGCGTTGGGAGTGGGGACAGGGAGGGAGGTAGGGAGGAGGAAGGGGATGACGAGAGAGAATGGAATGAAGAGTGGTAGAAAGAGGATGATTGCAGTAAGGGAAAGGAAGAAGGGCACGATGGAGTGAGGAACGAAACATGCCCACTATAACACAGCCGAATCACCATGGCAACATCACTTCCGTAGGAGTCCGGTGTCGAAACCTCAGCACTATCCTGCTAGTTTACTATATATACTATTACTACTACTACATATTTTACTAATCATTCACTATCAATATTATACGAGAATCTCCAAGAAAAATTACGACACACACACATATATATATATATATATATACGCTTTAAATTCGGACAAACTAAAAACGTAGATGTTTATTGCAATCAATATTATTAGTAATATTCGTTCTACATTAATTAAAGAAGTGCTAGCACATGGTCAAAACCCGTCATGAACTAAATCAAGTGTCACTAAAAATAGCAGATCGTTCAAAAAACTTATTATCTTTGATTATTATCTATTATATTTAAAATCTTAATTACAAAATTACATCTCTGCTATGATTACAGCCTGTACGATTCCCTCCCCCCCCCAATCACCCGAAAGATTATCTACAACAAATCTATCAACAAAATCAACAATCTCCAGATTACTGGATAATACTGGCACATCCCAGCATCAACACCACAATCACAGATAGCATAACCATCATCATCATACAAATCACAGCAGACGAACTATGAATAAAATCACGAAGTGACAATACACACACACACACACACACTCACACACACACGCACCGCCACGACGCACGCACGCACGCACGCACGCACGCACGCACACACACACACACACATGACGTCGGCAATACGTTGGCATTTTCTTTCTTTTATGCTGCTACATTTGTTTACATTGTTACTATACAAAACACATACAAATACAATTCAGTATATAATCAGCGCAATAGTGATATACATAATAATATCAGTAGAATACAACACAATACAATACAATATAATACAATACAATAGGATGCAGCATCAGTAAAATACAGCACAATACAATGTAATACAATATCGATACAATACAATGACATATGAATACTCAATCAAATGGAGCTAGACGTAAGCTGGGTTTACACTACCAACTTTGTGTTGGTGAATTGGCGAATTGGACCAACTTTCCAACTATACAACCTACAATCAGCAGTGTAAACGCAAAAGTTGCGTGACCAACCGATCGATAGCAATTAGTTGGGAAATTAGAACATGTTATGGCGAGTTGGAAAGTTGGTCCAACTTGCCAATTCGCCAACATAAAGTCGGTAGTGTAAACCCAGTTTTAGCCAGGGTCCAGTTGTCAGACACATTGTAAGTATTTATGACTATTGCCAGTCCATTATGTTGCCAGCCCATGGTTCCAGGCCATGTTACCAGTCCATGTTGCCAGTTTATGTTGCAATTCCACATTGCCATTCCATCATGTTGCCAGTCCATACTGGCACCTCAAATTGTGCGTCCATCATGCCAGTGCATGTTGCCAGCTAAGATAGCCAGTTCATGTTGCCAGTTCCACATTGCCAGTGCACGTTGCCAGTTCACAGTGATAGCTAGCAGCCCGCATTGCCAATCCACATTGCCAGCCTTTGTTGCCAGCACATTGCCAGTACATTGCCAGCACGGCACATTGCCAGCATGTTGCCATCGCGTTGCCAGCTCGCGTCGCGGCTCGGGCGCGGCTAGCTACGCGATGGAGCCGTAGCTATCTTGGTGATCCGGCTCCTTGATCGGCAGAGGCTGCATCTCCTCCACGATGTAGACCCTGCAAGGAGCCATATATCACAGTTATCGCCAACTCTTAGTTATGTTTTTTATTATTTTTATGTGTGTTTTCGCACACGGGGTAGTGCAGTGAGAAAAAGAGAGAGAGAGAGAGAGAGAGAGAGAGAGAGAGAGAGAGAGAGAGAGAGAGAGATGAGAGAGAAGAGAGAGAAAGAGGAGTGTGGTGTGTTAAAGAGAAGAGAGGGAGAGAGAGAGAGAGCAGAGAGAGAGTAGAGAGAGAGGAGAGAGAGAGAGAGAGAGAGAGATCGAGAGAGAGAGAGAGAGATCACACACCCTGGATTCCATCACATACCTGGATCTCTGTCACACACCTGGATATCTGTCACATACCTGGACCTCTGCCACACATATGGATTCCTGTCACACACCTGGATCTCTATCACACACCTGAATCACTGTCACACACCTGGATTGCTGTCACACACCTGAATCACTGTCACACACCTGAATCTCTGTCACACACCTGGATATCTGTCACATACCTAAATCTGTCACACACCTGGACCTCTGTCACATACCTGGATCTCTGTCATCTCAATCTTGCGGAACTCGAGAATGTACGTTGCAAAGTACAGGATGAAAGAAATGGCCATCACCCACTCGCAGGCTGTGCTGACTAGATGCTCAGGCCATCCCTGCAAGGAAAGTGCAGGCTTGTACATAAACATCGTCTTCACACTTTAGACATGGCGCAGATGCACTCAAAAACATCACACTCTCTTGGCCATATTTGTCAGCACATCCAAAACTCTGCTTTAAAAGTGAGGTCATGCGACAAAAATTCATTTCTGTCGACCTTTTTTTTCAACTGACATCATTTCTGGCACCAAACGCCAGCATGAGATGTAGGTGACCCGAAAACATATTACTTTAAAAATATAAATGTAAATATAATTACATTAAATATTCAAGATTAAAAGTGTCCGAAAATTGCATGTTTTGGTGAATACGAAGGTTCTAAGACATATTATCGTTACTCTAGACAATTGCTGTTACTCAAGCAATAACGGTAGGTATCATGAAAGTGGTGAAAACACTGGAAAACTCTCGTAATAATTACTTTAACACACTGAACGACAGTTTCAATCGAACATGTAGTTACGTAATAAGGCGTGAGCGGTAATTTGTGATGTAACAACTCCTAAGCATCACAACAGTCATCTACAGGTTCGTATTTACCCCGTCTTCCGGATACCACTTGGTCATGTCGTCTCCAGTGAATTTCTTCATAGATAACATTCCAGCTATGTTCGCTTTATTTTTCAAAAAAACCAACTGGTCAAGGAAATGAAATCCAACGCCATTACTCCAATAAAAAAAATTAAATAATAATATCAGTATTGAATCATTAAAATAATCGATGAAAATAATATAATAGTAAATGATAAGAAGAGCCGCAGAGCGTCTGGGCTCATCTGAGGTCTGTTGCTACGGTTATAAACGTAACATACGTTTGCGTATACGTTTGGGTATACGCCGTGCGTAGTGACACCTTTGTTAGGCGCAGATATGCAGATACGCAGTTGCGTACACATCATTTCAGCAACCTTCTGCATTCTGCATATCTCCCAAATCCCATTGGTTGATACAAATCACGTGCCTGAAACTCCTGTTTTATGGTGCATTGTGACCCTAACCCTAACCCTATTAAAAAAAAAAATTAATTGTAAAAACTATTTGTTGTTATGAAATTGTTGTAAATAAATCATGTAAATATTTTCCTTAATTGGAAAGAAATAGTTAAATGGATAAAGATAGAAAAATACAGAAAACAGGTAAATAACAAAAAATCTGATGGGATTCGATCCCATCACCTTTGAGCCATAATACTGTGCTGTAGCCGTTTGCCCATTGAAGTATATTGAGTTTCCATATTATGGATGTGCCATAAATATATGAGAACACTGTGACATCATTGAGACAGTTCAGAAATCTATGTTTAACCCTCATCTTGAGGGTCAAAAGGTTATCAGACACTTACTCTTCGCACGTCAGTGGAAAGCACATTTCATGGTCCTTTCAATAAAGTGATAAAAATGGTAGGTCAGCGCTCCGACTGAGGAGACACGAGCAGGCACCCGCCCCGGCCGGACCGCGAGCCCACCGAGGAGAAGAGAGAGAGAGGGGAGAGGCAGAGAGAGACCCGAGGAGAGAGGAGAGAGAGACGGGATGACGACGAGAGAGCGGAGAGGAGAGCAGAGAGAGAGGGAGAGGAGAGAGAGGGAGGAGAGAGGACCGACCCGGCGGAGAGAGAGAGAAGAGGGACGGAGATGAGAGAGAGAGAGAGAAGAGAGAGAGAAGAGCAGAGAGGAGAGGAGAGAGAGAGAGAGGAGAGAGAGAGAGAGGAAGAGAGAGGACTGTAGAAAGGAGAGGAGAAGAGAGAGAGAGAGAGAGAGAGAGAGAGAGGAGAGAGAGAGGTGAGAGATGAGAGAGAGAGAGAGAGAGAGAGAGAGACGAGATCGGAGAGGAGAGTAGAGAGAGAGCAGATCAGAGATGAGCAGAAGAGGAGAGAGAGAGACGAGAGATCGGAGAGGAGAGTAGAGAGAGA